GTTGTTAAGAGCCTTGAGATCATCATCAGAGGCAGGGTTTCATTCGCGGAAATCCCTGGAGATGATGCCGTGGCGTTCGGATGCCTTCACGCATCCCTTACTTGCGTACGTGGCTTTAAGTACGTAGCGCAAGCGTACAAGACCGGAATATCTTTGCGATATTAAGCTTCCCGGTACGTCGGGGCTTTGCAAACCGACGAAGGAGTAAAACCCGCTGGCGAATGTTTTATTCAACCGCGATGATTTTTTTTTTTCGAGAGAGAGCATCCATTTCGATCTCTCTAATGGAGCCATCTTCTTAGGATCGCTATTCTTGTCAAGGCGAAGTCCCTCCAACCTTGTTGACTTCCCGGACTTTTCTAGCGTTAACATTAATTAATTAATTATTTATACATCTCACGTCTAATAATAGAATGTCAGTATTGGTGGAAGTGAATAGCAGCGACATGGAGATATATTTATTTTTGGCTCTGTCGTCATCGAGACTCCTAGGGTGGAATCATCGTATATAGGTGGATAGGTTGGAAGGTAGTTAGAGGATTAGTTCGGCAGCCCAAAACAATAAGGAGTTTCCTGTCTACTCGAATGGCAGATGTCAGCCAGCGGGGAAAGAAGGTTATGTAGCAGGTGCCACGAAACAGCAGGTGGATTCCGACGGTTTCCTCCGGGCGTCCGTTCGTCCGTTTGGGATATGCTAGCGCCATCTAGCCCGAAGGAACGGTCTAACGACTCACAGAAAAGATGGCCGCCTAGCCTGGAGGGTTTCCAATACACGCTAGTAGTAAGAAACTATTAACTAAAACGCAGGCGAAATGGTTGGCTACTATACATTTCGACTTCTTCAGGATTATCACAGACGTCAATTCAATTATTGCTACGGGCTGACATATCCAAAACACTCATAAAAAACATCCCAGTAGCAAGGAATCATCAAGCTAAACGTGCACTACCTAGCGGCAAGGCTTGAGAATTAGTAGCAGAGAAAATAGCCTCACCTCGAAGATTCGTACCTCCATAAATCCGGACTTCTTGCGAGGAATTCAAAGTTAAAGGGAGACAAATACTCCTGGGAGATGAACGTTTCTTTTAATGAGCTCGTTTGTGGATTTAATCCCTGTACTGCGGCTCAGAGCTAAAATTAGAGGTTAGGCGCGTCGCAGGCATTGTCATGCTGGGTTCCCGTCCGTGCGTAGCCATGATCCATTGGGTTTTTCCCAGGAGCTGATTTCCGATACGCCGGTGTACTTATTATGGTAAAGTCGACGACGCCGAATAATCTCATGGTATGAATACTAAGAGGTTAGGGCGTACGCCGTGAGCCGCTGCCCGGGATGCTTTTTATGCCGGGAATGTTACCGTGGTACAAGAGAAGCCTCGCGGTACTAAATCTCGCGGCGATCGCAACTTACGTGGCTGGAAGTAAGGAAAAGACTCTCCGAAGGACATCCAATATCTTCAGGACAAATCCTTCTTAAAGTCGAATATTTCCTTTATAATTTCTCCCCATGCATTCTCCGTTTGTAATTGATAATCGTCCACTGTTTTGTCATATCTAAGTGCATCCTTTCTGTGAAGACCGAAGACTTTACGTGTTTGTGGTAACGAAGGATACAGAAACAGGGAGAGGATCAGAACAAACGTGAACAAAATGGCGGGTCCTGGCCGAGTCTTCGTTCGACTTCTACACGCCGAATACAATGCCGGGATGGAATGTCCTTCCGACAAAAGGAAGGATGTCGATTGTGAACGGGAAACCTCGGTTACGATCGTGTCCTTTTTGCGAAAAAGGATCAAGCACAAAGCTCGAGATTGCGTGCCCCGCGGTACTCCCTTTGCCCCCAATCCAGGGAGGAAAGATGAAAGGAGCTTCCACGAAAAGTCGCCATCTTTGATTTTCCTGTCCTGGATTTCGATCCCTCTTTTCCAGAATTCTAGAATCCGTCCTTTCGAGACCTTCAAAGCTCGCTATACGAAGCGGCTCTTCCCTAAACTTAGAGATCGAAAAGGAATCCGAAAAGTCCCGACAACTGGAATTTGCAAAATAGACTACTCGGAGGTCTGAAGGAGTTTAGAGAGGTTACGTTTAATTTTCGTCGAGTCCGGCTACCATATAATGGCGGGATTCTCCACTCATCTTCGTTGCCCCCCGAATTCCCGAAATTCGATTCCGAGTACTGTTTCTCATTTTATCTTTCCAGAGTTCGAGATGGCAAGAAATTGATTTTCGATCCGCAAGATGGCGAGTCTTCGGGAAGAAACTGGTTTTCGTAGAAGCAATTAATTCGATCGAGAATCTCCCTCGTCACGCGATCACTCGTTTGTTGTAAACGTCGATCATTGAGATCGACGAGGCGGAGGGGCCCACAATCGACCGTGTCGAAAAATATCCGACGAAACTCCTTTTTTCCTCTTTCGACCGCACCGATTTCGCTACCCACCACTCTCGATCAAGAGTGGTGGGTAGTGAATTACTAGTGTATTACTTGTCTACGAGTTATTGTAAACCATTCTTATCGTTAGGTCGTGTCCATGAAGTATAAGAAGACAACGCCAATAGTCAGTTCTACAGAAAGTCTCCGCTGATCCACCGATGCGAGCGCCACTTGCGGAAAATGAGGGAACTCCAACCCTACATGACCGAGACATTTCCTACCGACGTAAATGACCTAAAATCCTTTCAATTTTGCAATTAAGGTACGCAAAGCGAAACTATAATCCGGGAATGATATACAGAATGTGATGTATGACGCGATAAAGACTAGGGGAGGCGCTAGCAGACGATAATTGTTAATTAGGAAAATCTCATCGAGGAGGCGCTCTCAGCCCTAGGATCAGAGAAATGTGAAGTTCCTGGACCCCTAAAGTGGTGACGATTTCAATACATGGCGTTATATTTTCTTTTACTACTTTGTGCTGTTGATACTCTGACAAGGAAGGTATATCCCAGGTCGATCTCTCCGATTTGATTTATTTTATAATATGTTACAGTAGACTAAAAACTAAGCGACACGTATTTTTTTTATCTGCCATTAAACACTTTAAGGGGGTGAAACCACCATCCAAGGTAAGGCATGTCAAGGGGCGATTTGGCAGTTTCACCCACAAGAACATATTTTTTAACCAATCCACCTGGAAAAGCTTTCTCATAACGAGAAATGAAAAATATAATTTTCGGAATTAAGAAGAAACAAAAATTAAGGGGTGAGCCACCCCTCACAGGCCTTACTTTGGGTGGTGGTTTCACCCCCTTAAAGTGTTTAACGGTAGATTAAAAAAAAATACGTGTCGCTTAGTTTTTAGTCTACTATAACATATTATAAAAGAAATCAAATCGGAGAGATCTACCTGGGATACCTTCCTTAGACCTTGCGATCGTCTCGAGCCCTCCCGTTTTTCTGCGTTCGTAATTTCGAGCGAACTGCGTAATAGTCGCCGTATAAGCGATCGATATACCTCGAATATCGAGAGAAGTATACCGTTTCAACGGCAGCACTGCAACGCGATATACTCGGACGCCCCGCACGTGCGTAAGTTCTCAACTCCCGATTTCCGGAGCACTTCAGACCGTCAGACCTGCGACTCGGATTTCTGGTCGCTTCTGAAACGGACCTGATCGTGCCTGAAGCCTGTAATTATTTTAAAAAGGTTGAACAAACGAAATAATGGCTAAATCGCACCCACAAACCCTTTTATCCCTATTTCCGTCTGGTAACAATTACAACTTTCGTGTCAAATCCCAACTAAATAAGAAATATAAAAAAAAAACTCGCCGAAGAAAATCGGCATTATTAGAGAAGAAGACATAAATTTACATAAATTTAAGCGAAGCGTCGTAAGTACATAATACGCATTGCCGTTTATCATAGGAAATTAGAGGTCAATCAGTTATCAAAGAAGGAAATCGTTTCACTGATTTAGCCCCTCGGTTAGGACGTTTCAAATGATATCTTTCTTAATTTAATACCCACAAAGAGCTTTGAAACCTAGGAAGGGAATGAAATATCTATAGAATGATAATAAGGGGAAGCTACTAATATTAAGATTTAATTGTATTAATAGTGAGAGACAGGGGACGTATTAGAGACTTTGACCGAGAACGTTTGCTTTATAGGGAAGAAGTTTCGAGTCCATTCCGGAAGTTCTACGCAGTTTGTGGGTCAGGATTGAGAACCACTGCGCGACATAAGGGCGCGTGCCAAGGGCTCGCATCTGCTCGCATCTGCCATCGGCGGTTTTGCAGGGGCACCCCTCGGCTGTTTCCAGTACGACACCAACGTCCGTCTCCGGTTACAAAAACGCTTCCGCAGGAAATCGTTCGAGAGAGTTCCATTCGAGTTCGAGTCGCCTCCGAGAAGCGAGTTTTGGCCAGGAAGTGAGGTTAAGTCCCATTCGAAGAGGGAGGCTCGGCGCGCGCGGACAAACGTCGGCCAAAAATTCGGATCCCTAATTAAAACCAATTAAATCGTCGCACCTGGCAGGCCCATGCTAAACATGACCAGGGTGCTAAACATACCTGTCTCCAAAGTCCCCTATCCATTTCAATAAATTCCACATATCCGACCAAGATATACCCATAAAGATAGCCGAGCAGTTTAGCGCAACGTATAAACGGCATTTTATTCCGCCTCTTAATACGGAATAATTTTCCTATATTTGCACGGATAAACATAAACTCGTCGATAGGCGATCGCCCGCAGTGGTAACGTCTACTGCTTGGAGAAAAAGTCGCAAAGTCGAGATAATAAGCAAGTCCCATGGGCGTGCGTCGAGGCAAGGTGCGCGCGTAAGAACCGAAAAGCGGTGTGGAACTTGTAAGGAGATCGCTGCATCGGTCAGTCGAGCGGGCCGTGCTTTCCGCTGTAGCTGGGGTCTAACGGGCGCCGCGGATTGGGTGGCGCGTAGCCCAGGCCCCGCCCACTGGGTCCGAGATCGGGAGTGGGGGGCCGGCCGGCAGTACCCCAGGTAAGCAGCTGCGCGGGCAGTCCACAGGGGCTGCCGGGTGTTTAAATTAGTCCCGGCCGGTCCCTGGTAGTAGCGGAGCAACAGTCGCGTGCGGTGGATGCTCGGGACGACCATGTGCACGCCGATCGACCCGTAACAGTGCCGAGTGAACGTATCGACCTAGTCCGATTGATCCTCGAAGTAAGGGCCTTACCGTACACTTAGTTACCATCCCGTCAAAGCGGAGCCCGATTTCGGGAGTCATGAGAAAAAGATTGCGCCCACGCCAGTGATCCCATGTACGGGATTGGGTCTCGATAACTCGACACTCGGGAATTGGGAACTCGAGCAAATGACATCCTGAGGGGCCCAATCGACGAAGATGTTGCTCTTCAGGGTGGCTCTGATCCTCTGCACCCACTGGGTGGCGAGATGCGACCTTCTCGATCTCTACGTGCAGCACATGGACGAAACGATGAGGACCGTGGCTTTCAAGAAGAGTCAAGAGAGGAGAGTAAGGCCCAGAGCCCGCAGGAGTCTGATAGAGGACCCCCACAAGGGTTTCGGCTACTTCAAGAAGCAGCGGCTGGACGTCGACGAGAGCTTCCGGTGGAGGCCCAAGAAGCATCCGCTGGCGAAAGAGGACGGTCTAGAGTATCCCAACCAAGGGGAGAAGAACCCGAGCCCCGACCAGCACGAGTTATTGAATGGGGCCCGTAAGGCCCAGGGGGCCCAGGGGGCCGCAAGGAACTCCAGCCAAGCTCCCCCGAAACGGTACGAAGGGGACCTAGGCTTGGAATATTCCGAAAGGTATTTCGGCCTGGCAGAATCCGAAGAGTACCTTCAGGAGTTCCCAGGAGGGGCCCGTTCCCGAAAAGGGGGCCCCGAAGAAGACACCGAGTCCCAGATCGAATTGATCCGTGGATCCTCGTCGGAAAAAACCGCCGGGTCCTTGCCAGGGCCTGCTTTAAAGCGAGACCCTAAGTCCGGGGGTAGGACCCCGAAAAAATTCGTGCCCGCGAAAGGGCCCAGAATCTCGGGTTCCGCTCCCGCTAAGGACCCAAAGTGGGACACGATTTCGAGGGACGGCATCCTGGAGAGGCCCCGAAGACGAACGAATGACCCCAAATTTACTCGACGCGAGGTCCTTGATGACGCCGGGGACGTCATCCTCGAGTGGGACCCTTCGGATGACGACCTTGTCGTGTTCAAGGTTACCGCCAGGACCTTAGGCTACGTGGGGATCGGTTTCAACGAGAAGAGCCACATGAAGGGGGCCGATATACTCCTCGCGTGGGTGGACGACCTCACCGGCGCTGTCAACCTGTTGGTAAGATCTGAGATCAATATCTATCTACTCACGCGGGGCCCGTAATGGGCCCCGTTATCGATATCAATGATGCGCAAGACCTTTTTTTTTATTGAAAAGGTTGATCGGATAATAACGTTTCACGGACACGCTGGATACCATGGGTGTAATAAACACAACGGCAATATTTGAGCCTTAACAGTGGCAAGCAATAAAGGGTGGAAAGTAGCGTGGGAAATTCATAACCAAATTTTTTTTTCTTGCGTAATACGAGTCCGGCTTGCGTAATATGATTCTAAGGTCATTGGTGGTAGAGAGTGTCCGGGAAACGGAGAAAAATCGGCCATGCTTTTTTCCCATCGGGCCCTCGAAGGGCCCGACCGCCGGGCCTGTGCGTGCAGCATGTGCGAGGGTAAAAAGGGGCCCGGGGGACCGGTAAAAAAGAGAGGACGAGGAAAGAGGCGAAGAGTCTGAGGAATTAAAGGAAGATTAAGAAAGCCCTTGGCAGAAACCGGCGCGGGGTGGGGCCCGGGGCAGCGCGGTCGGCGAGCGTCGCGAAAACAAAAGGAAGGACGGGCCCCGGGCCCCTTCTTCGTGTGTTGGGCCGGAGTCGAAATCGGGGGACCGGTTCGCCCTCTCGCCAGATCGACCGATCGATTGTATTAATGAGCTGCGTTAATTGGCCGCCGTTCCTGGCGATGAAGCCGTTTCGGGGCCCAATCCGCGAGTCGAGAAAAGGGAGGAGGAGGAAGGTTCTCTCCAGAAATTCGGCGATACGAAAATTCAGAAGTTTTCCTTCGATCGAGGACCGAAAGTTTCGATAGCCCGCTCTCGCGACCCGTTTGTAAAGTTACCGATAAGAAACAACATCGGGCCGCAATTAAGGGCCCTAACGAGCCTGGATGAGATCTCGATATCTGCACTGGCAGAAATGCAACGAAAATCCCAGGTTGTCGAGAATCTCAGAGGCGAGCTGCCGGAACCGCAGAAATATTTAATTGGGATTTCGGAACGCTCGAAAGTGGGAAAAAGAATGAAAGGAAGAGCGACTAGTATATGAAGGGAGGGGGGAGGGGGGGAGGAGGAGGTCTGGGACCAACGTGGTGGAGAACCTGCTTGACCGGGGCTTCTCCGAATTCCTAATCTTAATTAAATTTATTTCCATTACAAGTTGGTTCCCGCGGGATATCGGGATGTGAGAGAACTCGCTCTCGGGCCCGTCCCGAGGGTTAGTTCGTCCATTACCGGTCCCAAATTTGCTAGGCAGATTTAAGGCCGTCGGAAGCCACCGATCAACGAAGGGTTCCCTTCCACTCCGATCAATGGGACTGGTCGCGTATTCTCGAATTGCCTATTGCGAGCGACACTGTCCGCTTGTGGGTTGATAAAGGCCCCGTATTGTTTTCACCGTAAGGCCCAATTCGAGCGACGCTCATTCCAGGTACACGAATCTCCTTCCTCGTGGGCCCTCCTCGCTTTCCTTCCCTAGCAAGGTCCACCTTCTCAACTTTACCCCCACTGGTGGGACTTATTCCAAGTTTAAGGCCCCGCAAAATAATCGAGAATCCACCGGTCCCAAAGGAGTCCCAGCACCGGGGCATTCGAGTTTTACACGGCGAATTCCTCGCCTCAGTCCCCGCTTTGTCCGCGATCCTCCGTCCCGGCCCGAGCAGGAGTGGGGGTAAGGCCCCGGCTTAGGGAAGGGTAAAATTAACGAACGACGTTCCACGCGGCGAGATAACGTCAAGATATATTTACGTCTGGACCGTACCGAGGAGGTCCGGCCTTTCTTTCGAGACACGATCGATCTACCCGGATCCTTACTCCCTCGGAATTAAGCGCCCGGCGAAATAGTAACTTAGGGGCCTTAAGGCCCGGCCGGCCGATCTAATGGCGATCGGAGGCCGGCAGATACGCGATCGCGTCACCAAACACGAAACTCCTCCCGGTAACGGGAGAAGGCAACGATACTCCTTTGCCAGAAGGATTTATGGTACTCCTCGGAAATGCCTTTAGGCCCCTTAATTGATTACCAGGTGGGCCCTAGAGAAACGACCTTGCGTCGACAGCTGCAACGGGGAAAAATATTCGCAAACATTTTTATTGAAAGAAAAAAAAAAGAAAAAAAAATCGAATGAACCTTGTAAACGCCCTACAACTCTTAGGGTCGATTCTGTAGAAGCTAAACATCCTGCTAGTCCATAAATAGTACACTTCATGGCACATAAGGCCCCAAAAGAGTGGGGTTAGGTTAGGTTACGACTTACAACAAACCGACGTAACGAAAGCGAGAATCCTTCGGAGCGGAAGTAGGGACAGGGGACGTAGGTAGATTTTCATTCGAATGAATAAATTAACGGGAATTATGGCGAATTAAGGTAGTATGTGTCGTAGTGATGTCACTGGTAGTGGATAATTTCCCAGGGCGTGCGATAGAGAGACGCGAGAATTGCGTAGCTCAGACGCGAGTAACAGTCGATAGGGCAGCCGCGATGGAATAAGTGAGAGCCGTGGGGTACGGCAAGCCACGTTGGGTCCGCGGGCCCCAGTCAAGGCCTCCAGACATTGGCCGGGCCCCCCGTCGAGGGGCCCATCGCGAATCCTCGGCCGTCAGTCGGCCCCGTGGAGAGAGGGGGGCACCGGGACAGACGGACGTTCGAGTGCAACGGTGCATGCAGAAACGCTCCCTCGCGTCCCCCCTTCAGATTTTCCCTCGACATTTTTTGCATTACCCTTTTTTATGTCCCCCGACATGCCCCCAACCTGCCCCACGCAACCCCGAGACGATGAGAACCCTGTCGAGGAATTTAAGGGACTCACCAGGCGTAGCATTCGAGGAAACTTTCGTATCTTTTGTCGGGACATCTGAAATTTCAATTCTGGACCACCAGGGATAGCATGTGAATTAAGGGGGGGCGGAGATATGAAGCAGAACGCGATAAATTTGGGTCAGGGGGTCGGATTGTTGGCCTACTGACTTTTGTCAGGTCACGAGGTACTGTTAGGTGTATTAATTGCAAGAGCAAATGCACGACTGCAACGATTTGCAAGGTTTAACGGACGCCTTATTAGAGTGTTCATTTTCTTCGTCTTCTACCCCCAAGGTGGATAGATCGTGTTAACATTAGGGCTTTACGCGACCCGCCACCTGTCCCCCTTAAGTCTCATTTAGCTGACTGGGGAGACAGATTTGTAGCTTTATCCAGGACTTGAGTTTATAGGCATGTTAGAAACGCTCCTTTTTGGGGCCCGGAGATACGATGGGGGGAAATAAGGCCGCCTTGGACAACCAGTTCCGTGTGATAGGTCGAAGGTTGTCACCGGCCGGACGGTGACTCGACCCGAGTACCGCGAAAATAAAGTGCATCCAGGTTATGGGGTCGAACGACGACCCACTGGCTTCGGATGAATACCACCGCGGATTAAATATGGGGGTATACTGAATGTCGGTATAGCTAATTAGCAGTTACGAAATATGTCACAGGTGATACACGGTACCCCGGGTAACTCAATTATGTAAAAACGTAATCGACTCGACGTGATCCCTCATTAATATGAACCCCCTCTGACAGGACTTCAACGAAGGCGTTAAAATCTAAAATAGCTGACGATTATAGAGCCGGAGACTCGAAAGGTCAGAAGGTGACACCGGGTCTTTTTACGATGGAGAGTTCAAGTTTGATCCTAGGTTTGATCCTACGATCGATCGGCGAGCAGGCAGATCCCTGGGTAAGCCGATAATGGCGACCGGTACGGGGCCCTCTTTTTCATACCGAGTCCCCGGAACGGTATATCGCGAACGCGCAGGGAGGAAACTCATTAACATACCGGGAGACGACATCGGGCCGACATAATCCAACGTATGATTTACGGTTTCCAAGCAGAGGAACCGGTTCACCGGTCAAATAAAATACATCCTCCCGTATATAACATTTGTACCGGCGAACGAACCTGAAGAGGTCCCCCTTTGCCGGCACCCTCTAAGCCGCACCGAACGGCTCCAGTCAACCGAGCACCCTTTGTTAGCGAATTGAGAAACTCCTGAACTGCCAAAGGGAAAAGAAAGAAAAAAAGAAAATAAAACAAAACAAACGAGAGGAAGCAAGACAAAAATTATACAGCAGCGTGTGGTGCCATTTCAAAAGTAAGGCCAAAGGCTGATTGTAACCAGAGCTGCCTAAAGAAATGTCGATTAAACTTGCCCTGCGGTAACGTGACAGACTTTCCCGTAAACTAAGTCGGTAATGTACCAGGGTCTCGCAATATCGGCATAATTATCCAGGCTAGCTAACTCGGTAGAGCACGAAACTCTTAATCTTGTAATAATAACTCATAAGCACGAGCCATGCACCTCTATACGAACCCCACATCATTCTTCTTAACTTCTGAATGGTGTCAAAAATACGCGATAACTAAAGCGCCGCAACATCGCCGTCTTAATGGTCTAATTGCGGTAATGTGACTTAAACCATTCCGGCAATTAGTCTCCGACGTTTCATTAACTCCCTGTGAATATCCCGGCTAGCTCAATCGGCGGAGCACAAGACCGTTAATCGCATGATTACAAGGTGGAGTCGTAAAGCATTCCATTATTCAACCTCCAGCATTTCACTCTCCTTCACTTCCGAGTGACATAATAAATATCCCGGCCAGCTCAGTCGGCAGAGCACGACATGCTTAACCTCAAAATAACAAGTCGTTTACCATAAATCATCCAATTGGCCGCACTCGACGTAACGCGCTCTCCCTCGTTTTACCTCAAACAGCATCAAGAATATCTCGGCTAGACGAGTCGGCAGAGCACGGGACTCGATCTCGGAATTACGAGTCGTTACCGCGAGCCATTCGACTGACCAGATCCGCAAAATCCCGCCTCTTATTTGCCCTACAATTTCTCCGCGCTCGGACAAAAGGGGAAAGATGACGGGGGAGAAAGGAAAAAAAAAAGAAGAAAAACAAGCCCACGGAGCGAAAACTGGCGGCCAATGCCGCGGACTACTGCCTCCTAATTACTAATCAGC